TATTTGCAGTTAGTTTAATAAATTTGTTAGCTATAAACTGGTCCTACTGACCTTCCACTAGTGATCATTATCCTCTTATACTACTCCTGAGGAAAACTATCTGAATACTTTATATAAAACCTTTTTTCCCTACAGTTGGTCAATAAGTTTTCGCCAACGCTGTTTTAATTTATACCAGAATAAGCAGAATTTTAGAAAAGCTCGAACAGAAATTTCAAAAAAGTTTTTTTCTTTAAAATTATTCTTGTTTTTTACCTTATAAAGCAAGAACGAATAAAGTAATGAAGCAGATGATGCGATTAGTTCTTCAGGATTGAGGACAGAATTGTTGTTGGCAGTGGTTATATAGTGGTTATTCAATGCGTAGAGCGTTCCTGTGTGAAAGAGCTTTCAGTTTCTTTTTTCTATTCGTTTTCTTTATTAAGAACAAAAAAGGTGCTGCAAATTATTTGATAACCAAAATTGCTTTGTCGTAATTCTCAACACTGAAATTTTATTTTGCACTGCAGTAATAAACAAAGAAAAGGAATTTAGTGGGTGAGTACGGTGAAGAGAGGATGTACAGTTTTCAAAATTATTTGTTTAACAACCAAAAAAACAGGCAGAAAATATTGTGCAGATTCTATAGCAGATTAAAGGTCATATCAATTCCTCTGAAAATAACGATACATAAAAATGTTCATTTTTTGCTCTAAATTTTTTTTTTTATTTTTATGCTAAGTCTTTGATAATTAACAATATAAACAGAGATGACTAATATATTAGTGAAACGTAGCCGTCCAGTGTAATTTTACCAGCAACCAACAAATAGTTGACCAAACTGATAGCAGTGGAAGCACAAAAAACAAGATGAATCAATTCAAACGCAAACTGTTATTAAAGAAAAAATGAAACAAATAAATGAATAAGCAAGAAAGAAACACTGATGTCATTGTCAAATTTGAACATTCTTTTTATAATCATTTCAATTTTTGGAGCTATTAAAAAAAGTCATTTGCTTTCATTATCAGTAATAACCAAATTTTTTCGTTCAAAATACAAAATGTTTTTAACGTGTTAATTTTACTTTTTCCTTCGTAGATTTACTAATTATCTGTTCCTCTTTCTTCTTTCCCTTTTGTTTTTTTCTCTTAACTTTTCTTTACTTTGCTACCAGCACAAAAATTGGTCGTATAGCAAAAATATATCGACCTCCTTGAACAGTTTTACGCCATAGAAAGTATTCTGAGAGCGAAAAAAAATTAAAACAGAAAGGGATTAAGCTGAAATGAAAAGAGGGAAACAACGAAGTGCAAACCTGTATACTTCATATAATTGCCATTTTTTCTTTATAACTTAGTTTACCAAATTAATAAAATCTCGCCAAAAATTAGAGCAGCACTTAAAGAAGCAAATATAAAAAACTTTTCTACTGTATTTTTCACTGCTTTGCTACCTTTTTTTCAAATTTATTTGGAAGAACACTTTTTCAGTACAGAATCTCCTTTATAGATTTTTTATTATAGAAAATATATAGTACAATCATTATTTTCTTTGGTGATTATTTTCATAGCAACGTAACATTTCTTTCTTCAACAATACTTCCGCTACTATTTAAAGCTGCACGAGAAACTATTGTTTATTCTGAGAGAGTAGAATGCAACTTTTCAATCATTACTTAACAATGTTTTCCTCATTTCTTCTCTTTGGTTACTATGCTTAAATTCTGCGTCGTTTTTGACTTATTTAGATGTACTACAAATCCCGGCATCTGTTTGAAAATATAAAGCTTCTAGTGCTTATCTCAGCGGTTAGAACGGTACTCCACCAAAAAAACTGCCCTCAAAATGTTTTTTTCTAATATTCACTACTCTTGTTCTTTCTCAAAAAAAACTTTGAAGCAAGTAAGCCAAATGGATGTTAAAATTAGCGTCTTTTAAGGTTAGACCAAAGCTGAGAGAAGTTTTTTGGTTCTACTGAAAAGGAAAGCACCAAAAGTCCGTTAAAAAAATCATGTTAATTTTATACTTCAAATTTAAATTTTTTTT